TATTTTTTAAAAAACTTTTTTTGTCGTCTCCCTGTTAAACCTTTTATAACTTCCTTTTGACTCTTAAAAGTAAAATAAAACAAATATTTTTTGGTAAAAAAGTTTAACTAAAAATTCTAGCTTTTATAAATATTAAGATGCTCCACGTTAATTAAAAATATGAGATGTGGTAATTATCTCATAGTCATTAAGAAAATCTTTTTGGTTGAAATATTCGCTAAAAAATAAGATCAAAGCTGTTAAGCATTCCTTATAATGTTTAAATAAACCTTCACCTTTAAATTAACATGTAAGAGTGGGTTAATTCCATTCTTTTTAAATAATAAATAAATAAATATATTGTAAAAGACAATTTTTTTTTTTACTAAAATCATATCTAACAATAATAAGGGTATGTCTCTTATCTTATCATACACATATACTCATATGTCTATTATTATTTTCATAAAAGTGATTTTTATTTAAAATATCCTTTTATCTATTTTATAATTATATTAATAATAAAGACATTTTTTACATAAAAAATTAAATTAAAGGGTCAATAGCATATGGGTGTAAGAATAAATACTCCTCAATAACAAATATATATATATATATATATATATATGTTTTATATTATTTAAATAAATTAAAGATCTCTTTAATAAATTCAATTGTTAATACGTGAAACAGAAACTAATCTTTTTTGTTGTTTCCCAGAATATGCATAAAACTTGACCGTTAAAAGAAATTTGTAAGACACAGTTTAATGGTGTAAGTAACAACTACGCTCTTCGCTCAGTTCGGTGTTGTTTTGGCAACTGGAGAGAACCACAAATTCACAATCCCTTGATATGTATATAATAGTAAGAATATAGTTTACTTCAATATATGTTACTTTAAAACACTTCTTAATAATCAGGAAATATACAATATGAATTCATTATAAATGAAAGATAGACGTCAGTAACTTGAATTCAATCATTTTTTTAAGCATAATTGTTTTTTTCTATCTACCGTCTCCATGTTAATGATTCGTGTACCCAAGAAAAAGTACGAAAACGGCTAAAAGTGGTCAAGCACATCTAAGGAAAAAACTTAGTCAAGTAATACGTTTCTTATTTTGACTAGAAAATCACACTAATAAGTGGTGAAATTAACCGAGTCAAGAGTTGTGATTAGGTAGTCCTTCTTAAAGATTTTGTTCTTTAATGACTATCGTCTTTCAATCTCAAGTAATGTGATATTTTGATGGCTAATATTCTCAACGAAGGTCATATGGGAATCAAAAGATACACGAGCATTTACATTAACCGTGACAAAAGATATTGAAAGAGTGACATAAATTTGGGTGTTCTTATTTTACACCACACCAAAAGTTAAAGAATGAAGTTATTATACAGTTAGCAAAATGAAATTTGTTAGTTAACCATAATCCTAAGCATGACTATATTGTTGGGTTAAGGTGAACCATATTTATTACTCTTATATTTAAAAAGTTGAAAAATATAATTAAATATAAAAATTCAGCATGAGTTTCTTATCATAATAACATGTAATCTTGAGCATAAGTAACATTTAGATAATTGTTTATAAAATGATTTAGAATTTTATTCATGTAAAATTATTATATATATATATATATATATATATATATATAATAAAATAAATTTATTGCAAGTTCGTGAATGTAAACAAAAGATATCAATTCATGTTGAGTATTTTTTTTTTATGCCAATGTTTCTAAGGACAAAGAATTTGAATATTATTTTTTGCCAATATATATAGTCTTCAATTCCAAAGCATAGAAAAGTTTTTCTTAAAATCATCACGTGAGTAAATTAAATACAGACATAAGAAAAATAACAAAAAGAATGTGTGTATAACATGCAGGTTCAAATTGATGAAAGCATTGGTTAATAGAAGAACAGAACGAGTAAAGAGACAAAATTAAAGTATTGTCTGTATCGAAAAAATTAGTCCATATGAAATAAAAACCTTTAGAAATAGTTTATTAGAAATTGAGAGTAGAATTATAATTTGAATTTTGAAAATAAATCAGGCTAGTGAAAAAATGTTGATATTTTTAAAATTACGGTGAGGTTGATACGAATACGAGTCGCATTCATCCTGTATTTTGTTTTTATTTATATTCTTAAAATCACTTTCATTTAACGTTGATAAATTATTTCCAGTTATAGGTGTTAGAATTAAAATTGATTACGATAATTTGAATGAAAATTAAATAATTATTATGCCAGTTAAATATTATATATAATTGATCATTTTAATTCATTATCAAAGTCAGACGCCAAATTATTTTGTTCATAAAAGTAGCTGATTAAATTAGATACATTTTGATGTCACTTTATATAATATATCAAACATTAAAACAACTATGTTCTCAAATTTTGTTAGACAAAATTAATACTAAAGTGTAATGAATTTTTCAAAATTGTAGAAAAGGAAACGGAAATTAAGGGTGGAGTATCTGTATAAAAGCTTCTTCTTTTTTTTCTCTCTAGGCATGATTAAAAGAAGATGCGGGATGTTGAGTTATGGCTTAATTTTCTAAGTTGAATGCAATGCAACTAGTCCTCATTTCTCCTTTAAGATGTCATCTCAACTTAGTTCAATGCTTCTTTTTCATATACGCCAACGGCCTTGCGAGCTGGGTATGTTTTTGTTTTCTTCCAAGTGTTTCTCTATGTTACTCTATGCACTATAATCATAACTTAAAATCGTTTGTTATTATTATTATCATTTATAAATATAAAAATTGATATGATTTTTCTTGAGCTTTTTTTAAAAAATAGATAAATTACAATGGAGTTTATAATTTTAAATAATATTTAAAAATTAGACATAATTCATTCGCAAAAAATAATTCAGAAAAAAACTTGTCTAAGTCATATAAAAAATATTTAACTATATTTTTAGTTGGTGTAAAATATCTTAACAAAAAATTTTCATGTCCTAAATTAGATATTTGATGTATAAAGTTTGCCAACGTTTAAATTAAATAAACTAAATAAGTTTTGATATCATGCTGAAAAAATAATGCTTATAAGTATTTAATTTTTATTTTTAACCAATATAAAACATATTTCTAAATAATAATGCATATAAATAAATAAATATTAATTGACAAACTAAAATATATTTCTAGTGATAAATACGTATTTACACTCAATATTCTCGTAGATAGCACTACGGATTGGGGGATTGGAACTTCACTAGAGCTGGCCATGAAAACAACTACCATTTCTTTTTTCTTGACAGAGCTGCATCTAACAGCTTAATCCATATTTAAAAGCTAAAATGTATCTTTAACATTTTTAAAATATGATGTTTTAATTTTTTTTTAGTTTCCATAATTTAAAATTACAAAAATAATGTGGAATATCATTATTATTTTATCAATTATTACATCTATGCACTTTTTTGAGTTGTTATGAATGAAGTTAAGTTAAGAAATAAATTTAATCCTAAAATTTTATAGTTAAATTTTTACATTCGTTTGACAATTTTATTTTGTTTTACTCTACGTTTTCTATTCATTTATTGTTATTTCTCTCCTTTTATAAAAGATGTATACACTTCTTTTCGGGAGAAAATAATCGATTTTGCAAATTTTAAGGAGAGAAAGAATTAATCTTATTTGGTTGAAAGTTGCACATTGCTCTTTTTGTACTCGCGAGTACCTAAACCAACTTTGTAGGTTCTAAGTAACATTCTTACTATAATAAGATTGGGATATATATATATATATATATATATATATATATATATATATATATATATATATATATATATATATATAATTAAGATCAAATTACTTCAGAGAAATTTGAAAAGAATTAATTCATTTAATAATTTCATAAATCTTAAATTTTAAAAATATAAAGTTTCATATTAATAATTTAGTAAAAAATTAAAAGCTAAATAAATGAGAATCTCAAACTTAAATATTAAATAAATTAAATATTTATAGATATGCAATTTTATAATCAATATTTATTTGTATTGTAAAATATATATATTAAACTTTAAAATAAAATTATGCAATAAATTATTAATTTTTTTATAATTTTTAAAGACACAATTTATTTAAGAATAACTTTTAGTTTAATAAGTAGATTGACAGAATTTAATATCTATACAAAGCTATTAAGTGAAATAACCCTGGTCACACTTTCTTCTAAAGGAATCTAATCTCTGCTCATAAAAATATAATAAAAATAAAAATTACTTTAAAAACAAAAATAAGATATAGAATATCAAATACAATATTCAGAAATCGATATTCAACCCCTTCCTATCCATATCAGGTCCTGAAGGCACCTCTGGGCTCTTGCATCATCAATTGCTAGTTTTCAATCTAGCTTGGGACCAGCATGGTCGATCGTAGAACACCCGATCCCTTATTTTCATGAAATTCGTTTCTTACCTCCAACAATGTTTAATTTATCCATAAATGAAGAAACTTTTGTTTGGACATTGTCTAAACAAGTTATCCATCAGAAGTTTATATAATAAAATAAAAATGTCAACTACATTAAAACTTTTCATATCTATATCAATTTCTAATTTTGAAAACAAAAACAAAATAGAAAAGAAATATTATCCCTAAAATTACTCTCAGAATTGCCCCACTAAATTGACCATAGACTAAAACAGTTATATACAGGTAATTAATATACACATAAATATAATCAAAGTTTGAAACGAAAAATAAAAAAGTGAAATGATTAAAATGAGAAGGTGAGTAATAACATAACATGGGCTTGTGTGTTGAGACTGACACAGAGAGGTCCCGCGTAGTTGGGTGATAGAAGCACACTTCCCTTAACCCACTTTCCACTTGAACTCTAACCCCAGTTTGGGGACATAAGCAGAAAGGAAAGTATGGCGCATCTCTCCCATTCCTATTTCATCTATTTCTCTCTCTCTCTCTCTCTCTCTCTCTCTCACACACACACACACACAAGCCTTATTTAACAACATGCCTAGCCCAATGCCTCTACCATGCACTTTGTCCTCTTCAACTCCCAACACCCACCCACTACACATTCTCTTTACCTCTCTTCCCTCCATGGCTACCTCCTTCACCTCTCTTAGTTAGCTATGAAAATAAAATAAAACATCACTTTTTGTTTCTTTTCTCCCTTTCCTCTCTAGAATATTCCTTAAACATAGCTAGCAATAGCTCCCATACCTACCTAGCTCTTTCAGAGGTAACTTCATCACTTTTTCTCTGATTCTCACTCTGACAAACCCACTACCTATTCGTCCATTTTTCCGAGGTGTCCCAAGAGCTAGCTACACCTCTATGTAGCTTAGTACTTCTCACCCACACACAAAGTCACAAACACAATATCCTTAGTCTATCTATCTCTTTCACTTACCTTCAACAAATTATCAGCACACAACATCAAATATTTCTGACACAAACACACCCCTTAATCAACAATGTCCAGCCGAAGATCTCGTTCGAGGCAATCTGGTGTTTCCACTGAGATCACTGACGCTCAGATTACTGATCTCATCTCCAAATTACAACAACTTATCCCTGAGCTACGTGCAAGGCGTTCCGACAAGGTAATACAGACCATTTTTTTTAACGTGACCACAAAGTTATACAATAAAAGCTGATGTATAATAATAATAATAATAATAATAATAATAATTTTGCTACTTTATTTCCATCTCTTTCACTATACTCTCTCTCACACGAACAAGTCACATGCACATGACACAAACGCACAGATTTTTCTGTGGCGTTGGTTGGCTTTGCTAGATAAGTCACGCTAGTGCCCTCCCTTTTAATTTTTTTTACCCACAACTTGTGAGGTTGTGTGGGACTAAGATATTCCCTCTTGCCATCATTGGCTACACTTTAGTAGCATTAAATTCAAAATGTGGGAAATAAAAATAAACAATTGATTAATTATGAATATTATTTATCGTTCTTATAGGTTTCAGCTGCTAAGGTGTTGCAGGAGACTTGCAACTACATCAAAAGCTTGCACAAAGAGGTTGATGATTTAAGTGACCGATTGTCACAACTCTTGGCCACCACAGACTCCAACAGTGCTCAAGCAGCTATTATTAGGAGCTTACTTATGTAATAGTCTAATTAATTATAGAGCTTAAATTTAATTTTATGTGTCGTGTGCATGTCCATGTTTTGGCTAGATTGTACTTCATTGTCATTTGTCACCCTCTCTTCTGGCTAGGGTTTGGTTTTTAAGACCAGAGCAAAAGGCTACCATGGGCTGGCTTTATATATTTAGCCCTTACTTAGTTTTATCAGACACTATGTAATAACTATCATCAATCAATTTTATTACTATAAATAAAATGAACTTGCATCTTGATTGAGTTCCATTTAGTCTGAATAGTTGTATTAATGTGCATATACATATATAAATCCGTACCCGTGCAGAGAGCTCTACAATTTTTTTTTATACATGAACATATATATGTGACATTTATAGTGTCAAATTATTTTCAAATTCGGAGGCTACATGCTTTTGTTTGATCTTAGCAATCTATCTTATTAGAGAAACTCAGCGGTTCTGCGTGGACCCATTAAAGGGTCAAGTTTGAACCTGACCTATTACATGTGACGTTGCCCCCACACCATTTTCGGTTATTTGTTCTTGCCAACCCGTGATGTTCGTGTTGGACCACTGTATACAATGAATCATTCATGATGAACCTTTATTTCCAGTGTACATTTATATATTTATCACTGTAGTTACATATGCACCATATGTATATATAAGGATAATATGGTAAGATCAACATATATCAATTATTTACAAATTAAACTAGCATTTGACAAATGGATAAAACAAACTTCAGTTTTGTTCCCCTTTATTACCTTGCTTTAATAAAATTTAAATATATTACTTTTAATGTCCATTTTTTTTTCTTCTCATCAAATGCATTAAAACTTTAGTGAAGTGGCTATAAATTCTTTTAAGGTGAACAAACTCCGTGTGACACATGTGTACAACGTAAAAACAAACCAAGTTATAATATATTTATACTGTTCTATATAAACTTGTTTAAAGACAAATGATAAATTTTAACCCAAAAAAAAAAAAGTGATAAATGATTTTTTGTTATCAGAAATCGTAGTCAACATTTAACTATGGAATGGTTTCTCGTGCGTCACTAACGATAATTTTGAACATTGTTATTTTGTTTGAAGTCTAAAATTTTGGAGAAAGGTCAGAATCGTTAATCCCAATAGCTTCAATGCCCCAAAAATTCTCATTGCTTCGTCAAAATCCCTGTGACAAATATGGACTATCTAACCTACTTTTTGAGGGATCAAGATCCTTGAAGTTTATTTTTAAACCTCAGAGATTTTAATTCCGAAAACTTATCATAAAATTGATAAAATATGTAAAAAAGTATGACTGAGTTTTAAAATATTAAGTTATCAAACTTGCAGTTACTGTCACAATCGCAGGGTATCAAAATCCTTTATTTTGAGGGTGGAAAAAACAATATGAATCAACTTTTCTCACCACGATACATTGCCACCAGTATTTAAGGGTTTAATTGGTAAATATGATAAAGAGAATGAAAATAAGATAGTTTTTCATTTTATTTGTAATATTTATTAAACTAATAAAATATAATAAGTTTATTCTATAAATTAATTTTAATATATTTTTTAGTATAAATTTTATCCTGTCAGATGTAGAAATTAAAAATAAATAAGATAAGATAATATAATATATCTAGTTTATTATTTTGGTACATATTAATTATAAAATAAGATAAAAAAAATATTTTTTTTTATTCTTATCCAAATTTCATATCCTATTTTATCTGCCAAATAGACTCATAGGTACACTAGCATATATAGGGGTTGCCTAATTTTAACCTTACTGCTAAATGCAAATTGAGTATGTATTTGAACATATGCTTTATATCTAAAATTATGTTAGGTGGATATAAATATACTTTAATTAATGTGTTAATATGTTTGGTTGGTTCAAAATAAAAGTTAAATTTGTTTCTAAATTTATGTTTAAGTAAATGTAATACACTATAATTTTTATATAGAGTTAAATAATTTATAATAAATATTATTATAATTCTTTTAAGAAAAAAAGTCCTCAAACATTAATTCAATACCTTAAACTCACTTAAAAGTAAATTAATTTTACACAATAAAACTTATCAAAATTGAAATGTTAACCCAAACACTAATTATTATTAACTTAATTTCTTTAAACTTCATATTTATCTAACACGGTACAACTCCGTCCTAGCTTTTACAAAAAGTTAGCATAAATTTATTTATTTGTCTGAACTTAGCTTAACTATCAACTACCTGTTAATCAAAGTAATATTATTCTATATATCTATTATCGATTAAAGGTTCTTTGTTCTCATCAATTAAAATTTATGAATATGTAATAGGAAAAAAAAATTATGAATATGTATAAAAAAAAATTAAATATAAAAATGTCAGGAAACATTTCCTGATAGACTTTTGTACGGTAGGCACCTGAAAACTTAGCAATGTCCTAGGCAGATGACTCCTATTTATAAAAGAAATTAAAATTATATTAAGGAAAATCAATGACGGCCGTCGATCAGGTAGGTGTATTGAAAATAATTTGACTTTAAATCCCATGAAAATTTTAATCACATATCAATCGTTAAATCAATTTAACCAATAAATTTACTTATATTAATTATGAATTTGAATAAAATTTGGTTAGGGCAAGATAATGTATTTATTAAATTAACTCATCTAATAGCAATAGCCAACTTTTGCACATCATTCAAAATATCATTAATTTCAACATGCATTTTGTTTCATCGTCTCAAAAGTTAGGTATTGAGTAATGTAATGCGTTAAGTATAACAAGGTTAAATAGTAGTGGGGACAGAGAAAAATTTAAGTCCTTAGAATTAATTAACAAAAGAATTGAAAAAAAATCAAACATTTTAAGCTTATAACTGTTACAAAATATACTAAAATTCCATTAATTGAACTTGTGTATATTTTGTGGGTAAGGCAAATATCTTAGTAAACTTATGAAAGCACAAGGGGGCAGTACTTTTCTATCCATTTATAAAGTTGCAAACTCATACTAATGTATTTGCATGGCATATATTATTACAAAGACTCAGTTTGGGGTGTCTTTTTAGAGCTTGTATATTATTCATTCTAAGAAAAAAATAATAAAACTTTAGAGAAGTTAAATAAAAGTAACTTATAAAAAAAAATATGCATGTTAATTTTAACTTATAAAAAGAGTTTAATTCATATTACAACTTAATTTTACGCTCTTATAAATACTTATTAAAAAAGTTATCAAGCCAAACTCTTCAATTAGTGTAAACCTAGAGTTGGATTCCTTTCCCATTCACCAAAGACATACTTCATTGATGACATTTCTCCTTAGTCCACAGCCAATACCTTAAATCCACAAATATTTTCACCACGTTCATTTCTGCATCATTAAAGGCAATATGATTTCTACTTTTCCAAACCGACCAGGACAGGTGCCATCCAAATGACAATCCCAAAAATCACATACTTGAGTATTTGTAATTTTCTTCAGAATTTTAGTATCTTCTTTTAAAAGAGTACGTGTACCATTTTTACTGTTAGAATTATTTGTTCTTGTTGATCTTAGCAAATCAAACCACTAGAACACAAACTATAAATGAGAACATGTGTCACAGTGGCATGTTGCAATTCTAAGTGATGTAAAAATTAATGAATGAATGAATAATTTAACTTTCATTAACTAAGTTTTGTACTAATATATAATTATAATAAATTGTTAATGGAATCAATTTTAGTATACAATCAAAATGTTCATACGACCTAAACTGAGATTAACTTCAACACGGTGGCCTCACCGTCATCTCCCAGGATATATAATTCCCTGGCTATAAGAACTCGCCAGCTAGCCATAGCCTACAACTACTACTAGTTTTGGACTCTAGCCAATCTTCATCCAAGTAAGTTTCCAATTTTAGTGATGACACATTATATGGGTTTAAAAATATTTTTTTTAAATAAAAACTATCGATCAATAATTTGTAAGTATATACATGTACATTCATTTTCTAAAAGAATTTATGATTAACATTTTTTACTCTAAAATATTGAAATAATAGTTTTGTATAAAATTAACACTCCTTGATTTGTTATTTGGCTTATATATGTTTTTTTTTGGGGGGGTAAAGGCTTGTATAATTTCTAATTTTTTTTCTCAATTTTTGGTTTTAATGTAGTCTCTAGTTTTTAAAATTCAATACTTTAAGTCAATCTTATTAACATGGCAGTTTGATAAAAAAAAAAAATTAATATGTGACACTGACAACTTCTTAGTCAACTAAATTATCATTAAAGACCAAAAATGTTAAATTTAAAAACCAGATACTAAAATAAAAAAACATATTTAAGCTTTGTTGCAATATTTCTTCTCTCTTTCTTTCGGGCTTGCTATCAACTTCTCTGACGGCCCATTAGTGGTCACCATAAAGGCCCACAGGGGTACTAGCAGGTACCAGTCATATCTAACGTGGTGGGAAAACGTTTGTTTCATTCTGTCTCCCAGTTTCCATGATTAAAAAGATACGTTCCATAGTCCAAATTTATTGGATAGATTTTGACAACTAGGCAATGTGAAATTCTGGGTCACCAAGGTTTATCATTAATGACTCATTTATTTTTTATAACTTTTCTTAAAGTGTAAGGAAGAAAGAAGATACTTCTTCTCAAGTCGAATCATGGGATTAGGCCCATTAACATTCACATTTGTGGTCCTTACTGGATCCGTCACCTTCACTGTACGATTTTCCCACTACGTCTTGGACAGGAAATAGACCCACATTTGAGGGGACACATTTGCTATGTGTGAAGAAGAAGTCTCTTATTTATAAAGGGAGAAAAAAACATGTCCCACATTTAGATATGAAACATTTTGAAAAAATATATAAATTAAAATTAAACAGGTTAAATAAGTAGTAAGGCCTTATACTCTTGATGTCTTAAGATTTTTGGATTTGATGTGATATCTAATCTGATTGTGTGGTTATGACTTTTCTTTATGTGGAAGATCTTCTCAGTCTAATGATCTTTGTGTC